GAGGTCGAATTTCATGATCAGATAATCGAACTCGCGGGAAGGCGCATAGCAAATTATGGCTTTCTGTAGTTTATAATTTTATTCAGGAGGTATTGCTAAGCTGCCTTGATGATATTTTAGACTAACAATTGTAATTCCGAATTCCTGGAGAGCAAGCGAAGAGAACCGAAATTTTTAGACTTTGAAAATAAAAAATTCCACACCGTTTTCAAACATCTCAAAACATACTCGGTATTATGTAGAATTCTTTCAAAATCCAATTCTAGCAAGTACAAGAGCTGTTTTTGAACGCGATAATTTTTTTCTTGGCAAAAGTTATTTCTGAGGCGAGCGGCCCCATGCAAGTTGACCCAATTTGACCTCTCGAAGCGATTTTGTTTAAACAGGAAATGTAAACAATTCGACTAGCCTTAGCTCGCTTTCCGAGCAAACCATTGAAAAACCCTGCCATTTCCCATTAAAACTACCCAGTAAACCTGAGATAATACTTCCATGACGGCTTACCTTCCAAATGGGTGTTTGGAGGCAAATAATTTTGACGTTCTCAGTTAATTTTTCCATCAGTTGCTTTCTTGTTGCCGCGCTTCATAAGTTAGGGTCATATCTTGACATCGAGCTTGTACGCCGGTTCCAGGCTAAGCTTGTGCAGCACTTTTCCGGAAAATCAATCCATATGTTGCAATATCTACCTCTCAGTGAGCAACCTATTGATATTCATTTAGTTTCTTGTATAATAAAAAAGATTCCTAAACGCAAGACGTAAATCTTGGTCTAGTGAATGTAACGCAATCTTTCCTTCGTCACTTCCGGACCAGGTGATTACTTTTTTTTTCTGACGGGGGAGAGGGAAAGGAGTTTTCCTATGCAAACAATTCCTTTTTCTTGTTGATGTTGCACGCAATGCATTTAACGGTCGACTACATGGCCACTGCAACAATTTGATTAAGATTTTCCAACATTAATTAAAGTGTTTTTTTTTTTTGGACAAAGTTAGCGCTCAAGGTTATACAATACACTTCAAAAGACCTAAACTCATTTTCCTGCACATATCTTTGTAAAGTTGTAAAAATTTTAATCCAGTGGAGTTTGTCCGTGTGATAAGGTTTGCGAATTTAAGAAAAAGTTAGGAGCCTCGCACGTGCTAGCTTAACATAAGCACAAGAAGAACGAACCATGTTCGTTCTTCTCGTGCTTATGCTTATGCTTATGTCGTGGGTGTTCTCACTTGCTTATGCGAGTGCTTGGGCTTGTGCTTATGCTTGTGCTTATGCGCTAATGAAATTAGCCTTTATCGGGCGAGCGATCGAAAAGTTCGATTTTAAAAGATAACAGCTCGAACGCCGTGAGAATTCTATATTTAGAACTTTTTTTAGAGGTAAACAAACCGTTTGCAATAGATGTATCAGCCTGCGAACGCAGACGTATTTCCAGCTGTCGCTTGTCTCCGCCGAAAATAACGTCTGCGAACCCGAGCCAGGAAACGATTTCTGTAA